ATGAAACAATAAAACCCAAGTATTAAAATTGTACACATGAAAAGCCAAGCATGATTTAAAGTTGTTTACAACATCTCTTTAGAGTCAGCAGCAGCAAAGTGTCCTTTTACCAGCGAGGACATGCTAGGCAATGCCAATGCACTACTTGAATAAACATGCTTCAGCCTGTAGATGAAATTAGTTCTAGATCTGAGCTTGTCATTTGGCCTGAACAGCAAGGGGAGTGGGATGAGGCAGCCCCACGGCTCCCTTCTACCCACTCAGGCAGCAAAGGAAGAAGGTTACGCGCAACCACTCACTGCTTTCACCCCAGCCACAAAGCCAGTTGCACGACGGATGTTCGGAGCGGGAATGCTGGCGTGGGCTTTCTCCCTTAGAATTCCCCTTCCCCGCTGAGCTACCCTGCAACTCTCGTAGTAACCGGAGGGGAAATGGATTTTCCTAGCAACTAAATAGTGTTCCTTGTTGTAATGCAGAATATTTGGGGGTGGCTTCATCTTGAATTAACTTTGTAAGAGACCTAGTTTTTTTTGTGGGGGGAGTACACTGTTAAAAATGGCTTGTTCATATAGATCAGCGCAGTTGCCCAAAATCTGGGGCTTTTATGTACTATTAGGATGAGTGCCAGCACTTCACAGTTTACCAAACCGCTGTCAGAAACAGAAGTATATTTATTCCCTTCGTGTAGATTATCTCCAGTGATGGCTGAGCTTCAAGAATATGGTGCAGTTTCTGTGTATCAGTTGTTTCCTGCTTAAGGCATTTCCTAGCTTGCTTTCTCGGCCCATAGCGGAACACTGTGGCTCAGAACATCGGCCATCTGGGGAATGAGGGTGGTTTCCAAGAAGCAGAAAATGCAGGGTGATTCCCATGCAGGGAAAATATTACTGATTGCTTTATTGACATGTCAATTCAGTAGATTTCTTGCAGTTTGGATCAGCCTTTGTGCCTGTCTAAACATGCAAATGTGTCTTATTGAGGAACCATTCAGGAAAACTGCAGGCACTTGCCCCTGTGGAACTAGATGATTAAATGGGTCCATTCAGAAACAAATGGACACCTTTGTCTCAGCTGTCTATAGCTAATGGGAACACAGGATTTTCCCAGTGATAGTATGCACTAAGAAGTAACAGCTAAGAATTCCATCTTCTTAAAGTAACAGTAACACTAAACAGTAACCTGGCTTGGAATTCTGCTGCTTTCTGAGAAAGAGGCACAGGTTTGATATAACACTAAGGCACATATAAGCAACCTTTTCCTACCAGGATTTATTCTGGATTTCCCCAACAGTAGCTGTACACATCAGCATGTCAGTATGTGCACCTGACATACTGGAGCAAAACATACTGGAGTATGAGGAGCAAAACACAACTGCACTGCAGTATCATTTTGTAACAGCTGCGTTATCCGTTTCTTAATTTTTCATATAAACAAATTAGTCCAAGCCCTGATTCTGGGTTATAATAATATAAAAACCTCTGCATATAAAATATGTAAGAAAGTTTTAAGTAAACAGATCAGTAGCCAGATCTGAACACAGCACTCCAATAAAAAGCAGTGCCAAGGATAGCAATAACTTGTCTGTTGGCTCACCTTTCCTCAAACACAGGGTGTTTGAGTTAATGTTCGCCAGCAGTAAAAGCAAATGAATCGACCCACGTATCATTAAAGGTCTGGTTTTCTTCAGAAACTTTTCTCTTCTTCGATTTATCCGTGGTTGGCCTACGGGGGGGTGTGGGGGGAGGATCTCAGTAAATCGGCCCGGATCCGCAGATCAGTGGCTGTGCCAGAGATATAGGTGTGTTTAGAGACTGATTAGCAGATAAACAGTCAAGTGCTGTGAATTGTGACAGGTCCCAAGCGTAGCTTTTAACATTCAGATGAAGGAGATTACATTGAGACTAAGAGAATCCTTTCAGCATCTTTTCGTGTAACATAAGAGCCTGCAGGAAGCTTGTTGAGCAGAGGAATGTAGTGATTTACTTAACTAGCTAGCACTGCGTTCATTCGAGCAGATCAGCGGCTGTGCTGGCCCGTGTTTTGAGCGACGGAGCCGCAGCGGAGGGGTTCAAGAGCCACGTGCGGCTCCGGAGCTGCGGCTTGCCGACCCCTGCCCTCGATCATGGGCCCTCAAACTGCAGCCCGGGGGCCGGATCTGGCCCGCCATGCCCATTTATCCAGCTTGCCATGCCCATTTAGACCTGTGTGCGCACGCGCGCACCACCACCCACCACGCCCTGCACATGGGGAGGCAGCGGTTCGCTCACTCAGAGAAAACGATCTCCAAGCGAGCAAGCCGCTGCCTCACAGCACATGCCGGCCCTGCCTCGCCTCCCCTTGCCCCCAAGCCCGCCCACCCATGCCTTGCCTTGCCTTGCCTTGCCTTGCCTCGTACCCTGCCCATGCCTGCCCGCGCCTCCCCTTGCCCCCATGCCCGCCTGCCCATGCCTGGCTTTGCCTGCCCCCCCCCATGCCCGCCCACCATATATAGAAACTATATATAGAGACATAGAAACAGCGCAAGTCAGAAGGGGTCTCCCTGGCCATCTAGTCTGACCTCTGGCACCAGCCGGCTCCGCTCACGACATGCCCACCATGTGCACGTCCAGCCTATCTTTGAACACCCGCACCGATGGGGCCTCAACCACTTCCCGGGGAAGCCCGTTCCACACCCTCAGGGTCCTGACTGTCAGGAAGTGCTTTCTGACATGCACCTCAACTCCTTCCCACAGCTTCCTTTCTCTGGAATCCCTGGCCTCCTCCTTCCTCCCATCTTCCCTGAAGCATATGCATTGTTTCAGTTTCAAAGTATTTAAGAAACATAGAAACAAGCAAGTCTGGCCACCCCTATAATATAGCAAGATGGGTAACTGATGAAGGTACTCAGGGTCCCCATCCTTTTTAGACTAAAGGGCACATTTACGAATTGGAGAAACTGCACTGGCTACCTCCGTAAAAGCCTAATCAGTGGATTGCCGCATTGGCATCCAGCTACTGCATGTATAAAACCTGGGTTATGTCTTTCTCAGTAATAAATGTTTCTTTCATGTCCTTGGACACCGAAACATCTCTTTAATAAAGGATTGTCTAATTCAGCTAATGCTTCTTTTAAACAGAGATTTCAACAATGCCCAACAGTTGCTTTTTGTGGGATGTTATTCCACAGATAAATATTGTACAGGATCAGTCTTTAATATCCAGTGATGTATGTGGTCTTTTAAGTTGTTGACCTGCTCCATGGAAAGGAACAAATGGAAGGAGAAATGGATTCTCTAGGCATTTTTGTCAGATAAAAAGACCGATATTTTAAATTGGAAGTATAACTGTGCATCTCCTGTAAAACAATGAAGTCAAGGATCTTACAGTGTTTTCACTATACGAAATGAATATTTATTGGATATTAGGTCCCTTTGCTGAATTGCTAGAAAGTTGCAGGCATTTCATAAAATGGATTTTTAAAATTCAAAGGGTTTTTTAAATGTGCAGGGGATCCCTTCGTGGGCACCCTTAACGTGCCTCTCTGGGAACCCCCTTGCACTAGTGTGTCTTGCAGCCTCTGACCTGCCACCTCCCATCCCTAACGTGGGAGCAATAATGCTCACCTAGCTTATATAGTTAAAGGTTGTGTGAACACAGTACAACATGAGTAGCAAATTGAAAACTGGAGAGTGCTATAGAAATAGGAGGTATTATCAAAATGACTGCCGCTTTTGAGTCTGCTCTACTGCTTTTGGTGCCTTGGGCTGCATCACTTTGCTATGCTGCAAGGACAGTGGGGACTGGGCTCGGGGTACAATCCTTCATCTGTCGTGTTCCTCAGAGTTCTTCTGTATATTCTTTGAGCCCTGTTGTGATTATTTTGCAACTGTGGCCTGCACAGAATGGCAAGTACAGAGATGGAGGTGACCTATTTAACATAGTGCAATTTATTCACCAATGATAGCTTAGTTCTTTCCTCAGAATCCTGCTTGGTAATTCTACATATCCTCTCACTTTAGCTATTCTAGGGAGTCCTTCTGTTGTCGACAATGCTTGCTCCTGATTATTTTTTATTTTTGTAGTTACGGTGTAAATCATTTTTCTGGACTCTCTTCAGGTCTTTCATATGTTGCAGGCACAGTACTTGGGTAATTTCCATTACTGTTGTCACTGTGAGCTTGTTCACCTGATGAAGAGCACGGCACTAGTTGACATGGGGCTTCTAACTCTTATTATTATCTATGCAAGTTGTTTATAGGCTAGGTTGTGTTAATTACATGCACTGTCACTTGATGCACTTCAAGTTCACTGTACACAGTAAATGTCAATCCCCTGAAGATAACAGAAATCACTGTTTGCTATGGTATTGGTCATTGGTTCTCAGATGAAATGCAGGTGCTCTACTTCAATCTATGAACCATCAGTTTTTTATATGCATTGACTCTCCCTAAGCACCTGTTTAAAGACTGCATGGAGAGGAGGTCAATATAGTGGCTACCCTTCATAAGGATTTCTTAATGCTCAGCATCTGAGAGTATATTTAATCCTGCAGATTTATTTTGTTGCTGAATTATTCTTAAGGCCGATCCACGCATGACATTTTACATATGCAATTTCAGGCATTTAGTATGAAAAACACAGTCACTGAGCTGGATGTTCCAACAACCCATAGTGCTGACAAAGTGGGGGTTGCTGAAGATACAGCAAGAGCATGAGAGCATGATACTTGCTGGCTGGCTGGCTGGCTGGCTGGCTGGCTGGCTGGCTGCCCACGCCCTGCAGCAAGGCTGAGCTAGAGCACAAAGAGTCCCTCCAGCTCTGGGTTATGGCCATGCCCATACCTGGAACTCTGGGTTGTTGCATGAGAGACCGCCCATAGTTGGAGCCCATGTTGAATGTTTGACCTGGTGGATGTATGCTCAACTGCAGTTCAGACAATGCCTCTGCAGAGTGTGTGAAACGACTGTTGATGACAGCATCAAGCGGCATTCTTTTAACAAGTGCCCTTTGCTCCTTTCCAGGTGGTATGGAGAGCTGACCAACTGTACCATCCTGATAGCTACGAAACTGAATTGTTTTTGGCCAAACCGGCTTGTGGATGAGTTCTTCATAGCAATTCACAAGCACTACTTCAAGAGCTGCCCTGTCTCAGGGAGGTCTTTGAGAGACCCTCCCAACACTGTTTTATGCCCATTCATTGTGGTGCCCATTTTCGTCACTCTGCTTGTGGCTGTTCTTGTGGTGTGGCGGAGCAAACACAGTGAAAGTGTTGTCTAAACTTCGTCAGCGCCCGGAGGCAGAAGGTAAGGCTTGCTTCAGTCAAAGAGATACCCCAAAGTCTTCAGCCTCCAAAATCAAGGAACAGGCACACTGGACACCAAGCAAGCATAACAGTTTTGTGGCTCATTCTGTGGCGCTGTGGATGCCAAAAGAGTATTTCTGGACAGTCTGTAATAGAAGAAAACACCCCGCTATCCCGAGAAAAAGGCTGTAACTGTTCACATTCTCCACGATGAAGATTTTGCTAAGGCCAAGAAAATGCACTGAAGACTAAATGACTTTCTCAGCCTCCAAAGCCCTTTCACAAGTCCAGGATTTAGTCATGTTAGAGGCTTTTCTCTGCCATTCTCTCTTTTCTTTGGATCCTTCCCATTTATTTTTCTTTTGGGTTATCCCTGGTTGCTTTTTTATCTTCAGCTTTTCTTTGGCCTTTACTTACCTGTACCACTTCCTGTAAGACTGTGGGCTGTTTTTTGGTCAGGAATTTGGAAAGGGTTGTGGGGCTGGGGGAGCCTTGCTGCATGCAGACACAGGCAACTGTGTGTCTTAAGGAGCCTGTCTACTCACATAAGCCCTGAAGCTTTTTTTGAGTACTTATAAAAGGCTCACACCTCCATCTCTGCAAGCTGATACGTGCACAAAATCAAAACAAAATGTGTTTTCTACAGTTGGGAATATGTATTTTCAGCATTATTTGGTAAGAAGTGAGGAAAGGACTTGGGTTTGAGAGAATAGCAGAACAATGGCCAGGGTGAGATATTTGCAGGATATTTGCGTAAATAAGAATAGGGAGTTGGATCTGGACTTATGTAGAATAAACCCACGGAGATCAAAGGGTCTTAAGTGAGCCGTGACTACAAGTCCCATTGATTTCAGTAATCTAACCCCAGGTGCAGCCCTTGACAGCTAACCAAGCAGTTCCTTCAGCTTCCGCAAGGGGCAGGTGACAGCCTGAGCTGCAAGCCTGTGCCAGAATGCGTGTGGAAGAGAAATTGCTGCAGCAGCAGCAGTCGGGATGGGTGTCTGAGCAGCGGCTGTGGGGCTCAGGACAGCATGGGCACTTGTGCTTTGCCGGGGAGGGGAGAGTCGCTCATGGGGGGCAGCAGCGGCAGCATAAGAGCTGCTGCAGAAGGCCTGCGCATGCAGCAGAGGGAGGGCAGGTGGTGGGCCGGCTGCCCCTCCCCGGCGTGCTGCCCCAGACACTGGGTTGGCAAATAGCTTGGCCACAGGGAGGGCAGCGGAGCCACATGCCAGCCTTCCAGACCTTGGGAAGCAAAGCGGACCCATCTGAAGGCCGGATACACAGAGATGTGTCAAGCAAGGACCCTTCACATACGGCCCAGCCCTGCGGAAGCGCACTCAAGAGTAAGTCCCTTGCAGTCAGAGGTGGTCCCTCCCAAGGGAATGTCCCTGGGGTTGGAGCCTGAGACTTGGATACACTTGTGCACCTAAGAAGCCCTTGTCCGGCTGAGCATGCAAGGCTCAGAGGACATGCCTATGTCTAGGAACTCCTGGAGTGCAGCAGGAGGAGAGGTGGAACAGCCCTCACCCCCCCCCCCACCTGGGCACAAGACAATTCCCCCTCCTCAGCCCTCCATGGGTGTGGAAAGTCCTGCCTCTGAGGAGTGCCAGTGCTCAGTGCTCGTACCTGGCTTGCCTCATGCTCAAGCTCAAACGTGAGCTCTGCACATAGAAAGCGAGCAAGCCTTGTGCAAGACGGGAAAAAGCAGGCAGGCAAAGTGGAATCTTCCCACTTCCGTTTAAAGCAGAAAAGGGGACACTAATAGTAAATTAACCAGTGTTTTTCTGGGTTTCCCTCTTAGTCACCCATAAGGGGTATGTTGAAGCTTGCTGGTAGTTTTCTTTGCTCATTCTGAAACAGAAGGGCCCCCTCTGTAGACAGACATCAACTTTTCCGCCCTACCTTCTGAATGGGGAAGAGTTAACCTTTCACTTCCTAGTAGCTGCTGAACAGAGGAGAACCTCACTAGGGGAAGTAGCAGAAGATGCATTGCTCTGAGCCCATTTGCACTTGCAGGAATGCGCTGGAAGGTGGCGTGCATGCCTTTCCACAGGCTCTCTGGGTCTCCCGAAGAGAACATGCTTATCCTTCTGTGTTCTTCGCTGAGCTTTTACTAAATGAGTTGCCCACGAAGTTTCAGCAGGGTATGCAAGAGGAGTGAGTCCTCAGTCTGTGGCTGTGCTGTGCTGTGCCTCTCATTCCCCTCCTTGAGGGATTTGGCACAGCTTGTGTGAAACGCATCATAGCGGTGACGCTAGGCAAATTTCAGGGTTATGCTGCTTGAATACCAGTGCAAGGCTTGCTGAGTGGGGGTTGCTGCATTTTTTCTACCTAAAAAGACAGAAGATTACACCCCAAGATATTTTCACAGCGAAGCGTGGTGGTGTTACAAGAATGGCCATCTCAGCATCTTGCCCTGTGGTATTGGATTGAACAACCTGCCTCTTGTTAAACCGTCCCGAGACTTTGGTAATGGGGCGGCCTACAAAAGTTTTAAATAAATAAATAATACATACAAAACAGGGAATTTGGGAAGAAAAGTTACTGCATACAAATAGTGTACTATTTTAAATTATAATTAATAAATGTGGATGTAATGCAAAATGTAAAAGATTTATTAAAATGAAAATAAATTTAAAAATTAATTAAAATTTTAAAAAATAATTAAAAAATGTTTGCTCTGTTCCCTCGGGCTGCAACAGAAGCCCAAGATGATGCTGTGCCGTTCACTAAAAGGGAGAGCGTGACACGAGGCGGAGCCATGAGGGCGCACTCGCCTCGGTCGAGGCCTTCCCGGCTCCTCTCTACTGCCCCCTTTCCGAGCCGAGCCGGAGGAAGGTCCCCTTGCAGGCGCTTGCCCGGCTCCGCAGGGGGTGGGCAGTAGCGGGAGGCCAGAGAGGCGAGCGCAGGGTGGCTCCCCCGGCTGGGGGAGGGCCGCGAGGAGGGAGGCAATGGCTGCTTTCCGAGGCGAGGGGAGGCAAGGGATGGGGCCGCGGCTGGCCAAGCGGGGTGCCTTCCGCCTCTCCTTGCTGCAGGGGGAAGAAGCATGGCAGCTGCTCAATGGTGGCGGCAGCTTGCCCAGAGAAGGCCACGGCAGAGGTGCGGGAGCCATGGCCCCACTACTGCTCTGCCTTGGCCCATCTGCCCCTGGGCTTGGCGAGGTGGCTATGGCTTGGCCTGCAGCCTGGGAATGTGGCTCACGTAGTTAAAATAGATTTTAAAAGTTATATTTTTCTTAACTTCTATCTTTTTTTTTTTACTGTCTTCATCTCTCTCTCTCTCTCTCTCTCTCCCCCCCCACCGCCCTCCTCTCTTCTGTATTCCCACTCTGTATTCCTGCTTTGTATTCAGAGTCAACACATGCGTGCAATGGAGGGGAAGAGCCGGCGCATGCACAGTTGAAAGGAGCTGTTACAATTTGGCGCATCTGTTGGCTCTCTGCTACTCTCTGAAACTGAAAGAGTTTCAGAGAACATCTGCGCTGGCTCAGATCTTTTGGACTCATTCGGAGATCGTTTTCTTCAAGCAAGTCCAAAAGCTCTGAGGTGGGCCAGGTAAATGACCATGGTGGGCCATATCTGGCCAGCAGGCCGTAGTTTGAGGATCCATGGATTAGAAGGTCCCTCTGTCGCCCGGCTAGTGTTTTAGAGAAAAACAACTAAGCAATGCTATTTGCGGGGTATGTCCACTATGTGGATCTTCCACTTCTCCAAAACCATGTTGGCAGTGAGGCCTTGTTTGGCTTTGGCTTCTGTTATTGTAAGAGGGAAGCCTGCTTTGTTTCCCAAACCAGACAGAGGCAGCCAAATTCTGGTCGCTCTTGGGTTTTGTCCTACTCCTCTGCCCATCCTTAGTGGATAAGAAAGCTGTGCAGGATCAGACCAAAGGCTCTTTTGTCCAGCATGCTGGACCTGTAGGAAGTCCGTTTGCCGCAACAGCACCCTTTTGCACATGTTGCCCAGCGAGCTGCAGGCTGAGGTGGGCTGCACATGACACTGGAGGCCATGGGGATGTTCACATGGCACAACAGCCCACAGTGAGATGGGATGAGTGTAGGGTGCATATACAAAGAAAATAACATGACCCGATTAAAGTTTTTGCACAAGGGGGAGAATTTAGCTTTAAACCCTTTCACAGTGCAGTCAGGGCTGGTGCTGGGCTTTTTTGTGCTCAAGCCTTGTGCCCTGCCACAACTGCTAACCAATTTTCAAAAACAGATGTAGAAAAAATGAACAGCACAAAACTTGAAATTGCTATTTAAAAAAAAAAATGAGAATAAGTAATACCACAATCTTAGATTTTTTTTTCTCAAATACAAAACAGATTTAGCCTATGAATTGTGATGTTAAGATTTAAGTGTCTTGGATGATTCCATTTCAGGTACATCAAAATCTAACCCAGGATCCAGAAGTCATTAGAGGCCTGTGGCCAACATTCTCTTTTTGGACAAGGTGCTTGAGCAGGTGGGAGCTGGGCAGCTCCAGGCACTCTGGGGGAAACAGACCACCTGGATCCATTTCTGTCTGGCTTCAGGCCTGGTTTTGAGGCAGAAACTGCCTTGGTCGCCCTGTGGGATGACCTGTGCTGGGAGAAAGACGGGTAGAGCATCTCAGCAGCTTTCAATACCATTGACCATGGAATCCTTCTGGATAGACTGGTTGGGTTGGGAGTTGGAGGCATTGCCCTACCTGACCAGCCAATTCAAGATAGTACCTTGGCCCCATGGCAATTATGTCTTGGAATGCTGCAGGGTTCCATCCTATCCCCCATGTTGTTCAACATCTATATGAAACCTCTGGGAGAGGTCAACCAGAGGTTTGGGCAGAAGTAGCATCTGTATGCCAATGACACTCAGCTCCACCTCTTATTTCCATCTGCTTCAGGTGAGGCAGTGTTGACTTTGAACTGGTGTCTGAGTGAGGTGATGAACTGGAGGATAGTCCAGGGAGAGGATGTCCACTCTGTCCTGGATGGGGCTGCACTTCCCCCAAAGGACAGAGTGTGGAGGTTGAGGGTGTTCCTGGTCCCAGAGCTGTCCCTGGAGCACCAGGTGGCATCTGTGATCAGGTGCAGCTTTTATCAGCAATGGTGGCTGATAAAACGCAGTGAGCTGTGACTGGATCTAGCTACTTAACGATACTTTTCTCGTTAAGAATGAAAGTTTAATTACTGTTTAAGAAGTGGTGCTACTGTCATGCAACCAAGTGCACAAAAAGTAGTTATAACAGGTTGGTGGTAATAAACAGCCTCAATTATGTTGGAAGCATTTATTTCTATAATAGGCTTGATTGATTAAACAGGTTGTGCATCTTGTCATATTCTGCAATCTTCTTGGGTACTAAGAATTCCCCCCCCCCCCCCGATAGGTTATGGTTGAAGGAAGCTCTTTAATTTCAGTTTCCTTGCAATCTATAGCGCATACAGAATATCTTGTTCTAAACAGAATATGCAAAACTAGAGATGAATAATTTGCTGTTATTTTCCATCAGGTACCCAGCTTCCAATTTGGATTTTGTAAGTTCTGATTGTAACCATCACAGGTTAATTTCATTGCCTTCAGGCTATATGGGTTGATTATAGGGGTTCCAATGATTGATATTGCATGCTACTGCTCACTACTTTAATTAGACTCACAAAAGCAGGCATATACCTAAAAAATCCAGTTAAGGTCTTGATCCTATATGCTATTTAGCTGAAGAAAAAGCTATTCAAACACAGTATCTACTATGATCAGTTTGCATACTGTTCCAAGTAATGAAGGCATCAAATAGCTAAGGAAAATATACTTGGAAAAGCTAAGGAAAATATACTTAGTAACAGTAGAAAAACAAGATAGGAAATTCTGCTTAAGATATATATTGCTGTTTCTATGAGTTTACTGAATCTGCCCTTTGGCACCAGATTATTAGAAGATAACCAGATTATTATCTTCTACAAATTACTCTGCATTTATAGACGTATTCCATAAACATTTTCTTTGAAATAAGATATCCCCCATTGTTATTCCTTATTGACCAAGATGTTGGCCAGAAACTTACCACTATTTTCTTTGCATTTGTGCTTTTATTTTTTTATATAGGTATAGTGGAGCAATAACCATGCATTTTATGTATTTTCTCCTTCTGTTGAGGATAAGACTGGTGTCTTAGTGGATTGTTTTGATAAGTTGCACCAAATCTCATAAAACAAGGAAACCAATCATCAGTGGGTCATATACATTATAATGTGGTGTCTGCTTTATGTCTGGAACCCAAGAATATGGGAAATGAACAATTTTGCTAAAAGCACAAAAATGAATGATACATCTTATTCTTTTAAGAAATACCATTATGAATTTAAAAGCAGTTATTTTTTCCTCAAGGATCTAATAGATTTTTTAATGTCTACTCAGAGTTAATGCAGTATCACTTTTCACTATTCCAATATTCCTTTAGGTTAAGACAGTTGGCTTATTAGTTTTGAAATTTCTCCTAGACACAATGCTCTGCAAGTTTAGACAACAAAAAGGCTTACCAACCTCAGCATATTGTAGGAACTTTTATGTCAGACTGTGCATTCAAGCAGTAGCTTAAACATCATTCCTTATTGAAGGCAAAAAGTTCATGCTTTTCTTGTTAACCCAAGAGGGCTAACAATAGCAAAACACCTTCAATTGCATATTATCCTTGTTGTGATAACATGAAACATCTTTTTAAAAAGTAAAATGGCTTTAGAGAGAACATAGGAGGAAAAATATTAATGGCATGGAATTCTGGCTTTACTCTCCCTTATCTTGAGAGCAATGGAAGACCACTTATTTTAGTTTCTTTCACCTTCTCTAGCTTTCAATCAGCAGGCACACATTAGTAATGATTTCCACAACTGCAAAGGATGACTGAATCCAGAACTTGACTGTAAAGTACCAAAATATTTTAGGTTTTGACATTTTGGAAAATACAAACACAAGAGTTGAACATTAAAATAAGCAAAACTGCATTAAATAAAAAGGTTTTATTATCTGAGCTTAAACAGGATGAAGATCCCAGCATTATTATACATAAACTTTTATTTGTGGAGAAAAAAGCTCAGAGAATAAACATCCATATAATATAGTTAAGCAATGGCAATAAACTATATAATAGTAAATCATCAGGCACATTTAATTGAGAAGGAGGTCCCTGGCACTTGCTTCTGACATGCATAGAAGTAGGCTAGGAAGTCAGGAAAAAAAAAATAATATATATATATATATGTGTGTGTGTGTGTGCGCGCGCGCGCGCGCGCCATCCTGTCACAAAGGCCTCCCTCAGGACTTACATAAATAATAAAAACATAATACAAATGAATTTCAGATTCACCCTGGCTGCAGTTAAAAACATATATAAACCAATGTTAAAAGTTAATAAAATATTGTTGGAATAAAAAGGTCTTAACCTGGTGCCAAAAAACAAATAACGATGACGCCATACTGACCTCTCTGGGGAGCGCATTCCATAGGTGGGGACACCACCGCAGAGAAAGCCCTCCTCCGGGTACTCACCCTCCTGATATCTTTTACAGGGGGTTCCCAGAGGAGGGGCTCTGCTGCCGATTTCAGGGGGCAGGAGGGCAAATACGGAAGAAGGCATTCCTTTAGGTATCCAGGTCCCAAGCCGTTAAGGGCTTTATAGGTAAT